TAGAAAATGTTTTAGATCTTTGAGTTCATCTCATGAAAAATGGGAGCAAAAACAAAAGTGTTGCGTTTATATTTTTGTTCAGTGTATCTTAAGTGTGTTAATGCAGACACACACACCTTCTCCAGAGCGGTGTGTGTGTCCCGCAGTATCCTCTCACAGAGAGTCTTCACGGTCCTGACGCTCCTCTCCTCTCTCTCCTCACACACCTGCTGGCCGAGCAACACCGCCTTCCACTGGGGACTGGAAATAAAAAACACACATCGTATGAATAAATTATACATTAACACTTTCTATTCTGATCCATCCAAACAATACAACACATTTTGAATGGTCTTACTACAGAGTCTGAGGCAGAGCCATCAGTCTGAGAGCCGTCAGCAGCCTCCAGCTCGGCCCCTCACTGGACACTGTGAGGTTACTGAGAGGAAGAGGAAACACTTTAGACTTATTCAAATTGTAATACATTTGTGTGTGCAATGCAGTGGGATATGTAGGACGGAAAAAGGCATACATTTAAATGATTAAATGGATAAATAAATACAGAAATAAATGAATACATTCGGAAATAAATACACAAAAATACAGGAATAAGTGAAATGCCTCGTAAACATTAAACTAACAAAACTATTTCCTAATTTGGGATCAATAAAGAATGTATTCTCTATTCCATTCATTATAATAATAATCGTATCTAGTAGTACGATAACAGCAGCTTACATTAAAACAATGTGATCAACATAAAATCAACAATGACAAATAAAAAATCTTACTTAATGAAATTATTTTCTCTGAGAAACTTCATCTTCTGATCCAAACTCCTGTCAGCTTTGAAAACATCACAGAGGAGATCTGAGGAAACAGAGAGACACACAGATATATAAATATACAGTCACTTTTTTTTAAAAGTGCACCTATCATGCTATTTTAAGGCATATATTATGGGCTATAAAATAGTTCATACTGGGTAGTTTATTTAGTTTAAAAATTATCCGCTGATTTACAGACGTCTCTTTCCCAATGTTAGTCAATGGGGAAAAGTTGTTTTGGGCCCAGTGACGTCACGGCCTGATACGGAAGTTGCAGTACCGCCGTTTGGTCACAACGGCATGTCTTCCGAGTCACTTGCTTCAGAAGCGAGGCAAGAATCCTTACTGACATTCGGAAAACGAAGAGTGGAACAGGCTAGCAAGTGTGCAGGTGTGTGTCATATGAGAGGCCCCGCCTTACTTTTTCTGCCACAGATTTGGGGAAATTGGTCCGTGAGCAAAGCATTGTGGGGATTTTAAGGACGTGAAGTGTACCCATGTGGAGCCTCGAAATTACCCCCAAACCAAGGACGCGGCCTCGGGTGGAATTCCAAGTATGCTGGAGATTGGAACAGTCCTTCGGCGGCACTCGATGACGTAGCATCCTTGAAATATTGGCTTGGAAGCCAGTTTCCTCGAGATTGAGAAACGGCCGCGAATGTTGGGCACAGAGTCCGGCTCACTTCCTGGGGGCTTGATTCTGGGTCCTTAGCTTAAAATAAATAAAAAAGAGGAGGCGGAGCTAATGCCTGATCAGAATTCTACCGGAAATAAAGTTACATTCTGCTGTGATAAAACGCCATCCTGTTCTAAACCACATCAAGGATTATTTCTGAAACAGTATGGAGCTCAAATGCTTTTTCTCGTGCAGGTTTATCACAAGGTGAGTTCCTTTTTTTATTTCCTGCTTTTTAAACACATGTGCTCTCCAGTACAGGTTAGCTCTGAGTGTTAGCGATGCTAATGTAAACAAAGACGAGATTACGTCCAAAACACGTCAGGCATTGTTTCTGATAGCAACTCTTTGTGGGTCCACCATCCGAAATTACGTCATATCGGCAGCAAACCTGTGTCCGCTCGTTGTACCCCCGTTTTTAAAAGATTTGGGTACGGAGGAAAAGAGAGAGGGTTTTATTTTCTGACGCTGCGTGAGTTCCCTGACACACCGGGGACACGTAGTTATGTATAAAAGACATCAACACAACAAGTGCATTTTGCTTGATAGGTCCCCTTTAAGTATCTTGAACTATAACAACAAAAGCTTATTATGTTGAAAATACGCTTTAAATCGTTTCAAATATAAACAGTGGTTGTTCAGCAAATACGTTTTTCTTACGTTACAGCATTTTAAATATTTGTTTACATCTGTGATGCATTCAAGGAAACATTCAGGGTCAAAGATTAGATGTATTCTTGTATTTGTTCTACTATATTTCACCTGTATCCACGTACACCACGCTGTTGGGGTTAGTGGAAGCCACGAAGCCGTACTCCCATCATCAGCCGCTGAGAATCATGGGAGTCGTAGTTTTATGAAAGGCCTGTTCGTACCGAAGCGTCCCCCGAAAACACTTCTGATTTCATAACACCGTGACACCTCATTGAAACTGGCTTTTACCTTAAAAGGAAGGAAAACATACAATATATATATTTATAATGACATTTGTGGAACATTTTATCAGCTTTCTGACAGTCCAATCAGGTACAACTCAATAATGTGGAAAAACAACTCCAATATTGACATTTATTTAACTTTTTCCCATGGTGCAAAAACATGGATATCAGGCTACAAGTCTTGATTTTAGTTTTCAGGTGAAATTAATCGTACTATTATAATGGTATTGTTATATGTGCTGGTATTAATAGTTTATAGATCTGTTATTTGATGTGTTTAATTATATTTTAGTGTGATAGAGTCTTTGTTTAATCGTAATGTGTGTACCTTAAAGGTCCCATGTCATGCTTTTCTGGTTATTACCCGTCCCCTTGTGTGTTATGAAGGTTTTTCTGCATGTAAACGGTCTGCAGAGTCACAAACCCTCAAAGTACATCCTGTAGGGAGTAAAACTCTAACACAGAAAATACCTCCCCAAAA